TGGGGGGGCGGGGGGGTAGGGGGCTCTATCCCGGTGCTCGGCCTCCCTGCGCGGTCCCTGCGGTGTAGTCCCAGCCTCGGCAATCAGACCAGAAAAAGGCACCCGGACTGGAGAGGAGGAAGGAAAACCGCCACCATTTTCCGGTGGCCTGGCCCTCTCTGTACAGAAAACCCTGAGGACGCCACCAACCAGCCGGTAGAATCAATGCCCTCAGCAAATCTGTCGGAAACGCCATCTACAAAACCGGCCGCCTCTCTCCGCGCCGATAATGAATGATCAGGAAGAGAAATTAAGAAAACAGTCCCATGTCCACTTGCATTAAAAAAAAAAAAGGTATAAAATACCCAGGAACACATGTTCGCGAAGGAGGCCTTGCACTCTGACGGCGACACAGCGCTGAAGAAAGAAACGGAACGAGACAGAAATAAAGGGAGGACAGACCTTGCTTGCGGACCGGAGAGGTTCATGCTGCTCAAATGGATTTACAGCCGGAGGTTTCACACGGATTCGGTGCGGCTGGATGTCCTCTCATGCCTCCAAGGTCAGGGGGCAAATGGCCACGGCCGGGCCCGAGACACGGCCGCCGGCTCCTTCCACAGCCGGAGACGCGGAACACTCGTGACCGCGACACAGGCTCTCCCAGAGGCCCACGCGGCCGCAGCCCGTCCAGGTCAAGGGTCACGCGCTTCAGAGTCCCGGATGCACAGGCCGCGGACTCACCCAAAAGGAACCGAGGAACCTGCCTGGGCCCTGGCCGGGTAGCGCAGGAGGGACGACAAATCCATGTCTCTTTTTCCCTTCCTCGCAATAAAAACAGAAGCTGCCAGCATCACTAGGGGCATGCAATATCGCGAGACGCAGCAGTATCGCGAGATGTCGCTAGTACCGCGAGAGATGGGCACCATCACGAGGTGCCCAGTACCCCGAGGGGCAGCCGGTACCACCTCATGCCTCCTTTAGAGTTGGTGTCTTTTCTTGCAGAACCACGTCAGCTAGTTTATTTGCACCGGCCGAGCTGCAGCGGGTGGCCTGGGGCTGCCTGGGATCCGGGGGAAGGGGAGGTTCTGTCCGGGACGGTGAGGCCGGCAGACCGTTGCTTTCCCGTCGGACGGGGCTCCCCGGAAGGAAGTCCTGCCGGGCAGCAGGCTCCCTTCGCTGTTTCAGTTCCGGGGTGTGTGCGCACTGGGAGAGGCTGTATCAGAGACAGGCGCCCTTGCCCCCCGGCTCTTCTTACTGCCCCCCTTTTTCCCGAGCAGAGATTCCCACACTGGGGTGATGAGCACATGACCCGGGATGCTCACATTTTATTCTTGTGGGAGATCCTTTCTGCTGCATCCGTTTACTCCGCACATAGTCACTCACTGAGCTTGGCTCCTACACTTTGCTCGGTTCTTGGGGTTCATCCGTGAATCAGCGCTAGTTTCTACTTTATAGAGCTCCACATTGGGGCGAGGGAAACGGACGGGTAACTCCAGGGTTCTCGCGTGTGTAAACCTATGTATGTAAAAGCCTAAGCGACCGGAGGCCGGCTGACCAGTCGCTATGATGCTCACTGACCACTAGGGGGCAGACGCTCAACGCAGGAGCTGCCCCTGGTGGTCAGTGCGCCCCCACAGCTGACTGCCAGGCGCAGCTGCGGCATGAGCCTCTCCATTACCGAGCCAAGGCGGCAGTCCGACATCCCCTGGTCCCCTGAGGCCTCCCGGATTGCGAGAGGGCGCTGGCCAGGCCGAGGGACCCGCCAGTGCACGAATCTGTGCACCCAGTCTCTAGTTGAGCATAAGTGCCTATGCCAAGCGCTGCAGATTCACGCAGGAGGACATGTTTTCTTCCCAGCCGGGGTGGGTGGGCGTGGCTTCAGAGTGTGTTCTGGAAACACACCTTCCGAGGGAAAGCGTGGGCTTCCCTTTGGAAGGAGGGGGTCGCGGGAGGGGTGTAGAGGACGAGGTGTCTGGGGGCCTCCACAGAGTTTAGCTTTTTGCACGGAGCCCCAGCCTGGGCATCTCCGAGGGTGGCAGGCGGCCCCGTGCCAGGGTGTTGGTGAAGCAGCAAAATCAGCTTGCCGTAGCATATTTTCCTAGAAGTGGAAACGGTCCAAACCACGACATTTGTATCCAATCCAAACAGCATGAATGACAGAGAATAAAAGGAGACGTGCAAATATTTGAAAGACAAAACATGCATTGTCAAAGGGGCATAGAAATCTTATAGATCGTATAAGTCTATAGTCTATTATAGATTATAGAACGCTATAGCCTATTATAGATTATAGAACTCTATAGTCTCTTATAGATTATAGAACTCTATAGTCTATTATCGATTATAGAACTCTGCAGTCTATTATAGATCATAGAACTCTATAGCCTATTATAGATTATAGAAACTCTACAGTCTATTTAGATCATAGAACTCTACAGTCTATTATAGGTCATAGAACTCTATAGTCTATTATAGGTTATAGAACTCTATAATCATTATAGGACTCTATAATCTGTTATAGATGATCGGAATCTATAACAGATTATAGAAAGGAGGAAAGTGTAAGGGGACGAGGAGGTCGAAACTAGAAGAGTCCCTGTGGGAATGTGGAGTAAAGGGCCGATTGCAGGGGTATCTGGGACCTGTTATCTGTGATAATATAACTGTGTATAAACTTCACGTCGGTGCATAGACAGAGGTGTTAAGCGACAGGACCTCAATTATCCCTGAACGCATGCCCTGACTGCACGGCGATAATTAACCCACTTTGTGTGCTGGGAATGCGGTAATTCATAGGAAGTCACTGTGAAGCGATGCACACGGGAGGCGCTAAACTGCCGACCGTCCCCACAATGTTTCTTTTTAACTCGTGCCATTCGGTCAGTCACCGGTGCACACACGTCTAGAGGCCAGCCCACGTGTGGATTTGCATAAAATAAGTGCGCAGTTAGGCAGGCACGTTCAGAAGGCAAGCGACTGAAAATGAACACACGACTCCATGCCCCCTTACGCACATAGGTAAGGCACATGGTCATGCCTGAGGGGTCTGGGGTCTTTTGTAGAGTCTGGGTTGCTGACTCCCTTTCTGGGAAGCTCCGGCCACCAGAGAGCAGCACCCCGCGGTGGTGCGTTTGGGGTTTGCTACAGCAGATGGCAGGCGTGGTGGGGAGGCCCAGGGTCCGACGGGCGTGTATGTTACCCGATATCTCTGTGGGGGGCTTTCTGTTCTGGCTTGTCAGACTTACAGGTCTGCATTTACTGGCCGGTATTTAAAAATGCCGCCACCCTAACTTAATGTGATCACATATTAGCTATGAAAACCATACACCCTGAACACAGTCTAGGAAGACAGTCCCAGGTGCAATGAAGTCATTTTCCTAGTAATGTTTTGAGTAGTGTTTTTTTGAATCACTGATTGGCAGCCTCCTGCACACCCCACACTGGGGATCGAGCCTGCAACTCCCAGGCATGTGCCCTGACCAGGAATTGAACAGTGACTTTCTGGTTCATAGGTTGATGCTCAACCACTGAGCCACACCGGCCGGGTGAGAAGTGTTACTTTTTAAGACTGCAAACCAAATTAAACAATAAAAAGGACTAAGGAGGCGATTAGCCAAATTACTATTACTCAAGACATGGGCACGGTCCCTCCTATCTTTTCTCTGTGGTTACAGGATGTGTAGAGAAAGACTTAAATAGTAAAATGGCCCTAGCTGGTTTGGTTCAGTGGATAGAACATTGGGCTGCGGACTGGAAGGTCCCGGGTTTGATTCCGGTCAAGGGCACATGCTCGGGTAGTGGGCTCGATCCCCAGTAGGGGGCGAGCTGGAGGCAGCCGATCCATGATTCTCTCTCATCACTGATGTTCCTATCTCTCTCTCTCCCTCTCCCTTCCTCTCTGAAATCAATAAAGAAATATATTTAAAAATATATTTAAATATTAAAATGGTCTAACAGCATTATGGCGCCTTAAACAATAATTAGCAGGCATTAATCTAAAAATGACACAAATGGGCCAAGCCCTAAACCAATAGGAGCTTTAAGATAAAATTGTATTCTCGTCCCACTATTACATAACTCTCATCATCACTGCATATGCAATCCCTATTCCAGTTTTTTTATTTTAGAAAATGTTTAAAAAGCGTTTATTGAAATGATGCATGACGCTGCTAAGCCTGGTTGGTTATTTTTAAATTGTGTCCCAGACGTATGTGAAAAATTACGGCGATCGTTTGGGGCGTCTTGAAACTACTCTCCAATTTTATGTTTGTTTCTCTTTTTAAAAAAATATATTTTTACTGATCTCAGAGAGGAAGGGAGAGAGGGACAGAGAGACAGAAACATCAATAATGAGAGAATCATGGATCGGCTGCCTCCTGCACGCCCCACACTGGGGATCGAGCCGGCAACCCCGGCCTGTGCCCTTGACCGGGAATCGAACTGTGACCTCCTGGTTCATAGGCCGACGCTCAACCACTGAGCCACACCGGCCGGGCTCTCCAGCGGTGAGGCTGTCCTCCTGGGAGGTTGGTGAGAGCCCCTCGCTCCTCACTGCGGACGGCAGAAGGGCCATGCTCGGTTAAAGCGTGTTGACAAGGCCCCTCGACAGCAGGTCCCGATTTATGCTGCAACGAGCTTTATCCCTCGCAGCCTCTCCGTGGCTCTGGACATACACAGCCCTGGGCGCTCAGCTGCACAGACGGGATCATGGGCACGTCTGCTGCAGGAATCTCTCTTGTAAACGCCGCCTTTCAAGTTGGCTGCCGGCGGTGTTGCCCAAGGGTTCCGTTCTCTCCACGCCCATGTTTCATCCCAGACACGGAGGGAGGCCCACGGAAATCTCTCTTCTCTCCTCGGTTTGTTAGGGTTGGGTAGCCTTCTACTCAGAGAAGAGGAAAGTCTAATAGAAATTCCCATGACGTTTGCCCAGCCAGAGTGGCTCAGGGGTTGAGCGTCGACCTATGAACCAGGAGGTCACAGTTGGATTCCCGGTCGGGGGGCACAGGCCGGGGCTGTGGGCTCCATCCCCAGTGTGGGGCCTGCAGGAGGCAGCTGATCCCTGATTCTCTCTCATCGCTGACATTTCCATCTCTCTCCCTCTCCCTGCCTCTCTCTGAAATCAATAAAAACATATTTAAAATACACTTTAAGTATCGAATGCTTTTTAAAATCAATCTTCCGGAAGAGTCGTGTACGGGCTTGGAGTACAGCTCCCCCGGCGCTGGGTAAAGTGCTGCCTTGCATTTCCACGGCGATCCTTCTTCCCGAAGCGCCGGGGCAGCCTTGCTCCTCAGGACTCTGCAGAGCTGCCAGCGCTTTTCTCGGTGCTCTTGTGTAGGCGTCGGAAGAAACAGATAACCGTAGATCTCACTGTGTCTACATTCTTGTTTGCACGGAAAATTGCTGGGTAATACAAACTCCCATTTGCGAGGCACTCTGGAGCTTACGGCGAGAACGACTTCTTCTGCCTCATTTAGTCTTTCCACCGACCGCATTCCCCTCCTCCCCCTCCCCCCGTTTTAAAGAGGAATAAGTTGAGAGGGTGTTTTTCCCTGAGTCAGCGAGAGATGAGAGCCGACAAAAAGAAATTATATTCAGAATAAGAAACCAACGCCTACCAATCCATAAGGCCAAGGAGGCAAGCCGGTAGGAAAATGGGCAAAAGGTGAGCAGGCGCGGGGGCCTCACCACCGAGGACATCAGCAAATGACACCCTGAAAATAACGGGCGGGACCTTAACCTGCCTCCATTTTTCTAAATGCCTCTCTCTCTCCCTCTTTCTCTCTCTCTCTCACACACACACACACGGGAGTAATACTGCCACTGCTTTCATTTAGTCATGGGGGTTGTGAGGGAGCCCCCACACGTAGCTCTGTGTGTCTCTGTTTCGTCTGGTGTTTTGC